TGCAATGCGATTGTAATGCAGGGGTGGGTGCAACGGGGCGGCGGCGTCGGGCGGGGACAGGGCCGCCGGGGCCGCAGACTTGCCCTTTATTGGGGAAACTGGGACGGCGACGGACGGGAACGAGGCCGCCGCGGCCGCAGACGCGAGCAGCTCCTCGGGAGATACGTAAAGGACCTCGAAGTGCAAGCACTGCTTGGAGCGATCCGTCAAAACGTGCTGCGAAGACCTGATATCTCCCGGCCATAGCCTTCCTCCCTACTGCGTGTGCGCCAGGGTCGTGTGCCTTGGCGCGCAGGGTCTCAAACACTGATGACACGAGCGCAAGGAGGAGGCTGACAGAAATGGGAGGCGGAAGGCGAGTAGGAAGCATGGGGGGAGGAGCAGCAGTCCCAGACCTCCGTCGACTCAGAATCTCATACCGATTTGATGATGTTTAATGATGACAGGGCCTGGATTTTCGTTTAAGCCAGCATGGGCCCAAAACAGTGCTGTTTAGCAATCTATGCGGTGCAATTTCGGTGGTACTATCCATGTGGTGCAATCTAGGTGGTCCACGTGGCGTGGTGCAATTTATGTGGTGCGAACCAACGCACAGCAACACAATGCAACGCAATGCAATGCGAAGCAATGCGCAGCAATGCAATGCAACGTAATGCCAAGCAATGCAAAGCCATGCAACGCAACTACATGCGAAGCAGTGTCAAACAAAGCAGTGCAAATCAGTGCACAGCAACACAATGCGATACAACTCAGTACAAAACGATGCAAAACGGTGCGAAACAGTGCAACGCACGACAAAGCAAGGCAAGGCAGAGCAATGCAAAACATTACACTGCGCTGCAAAGCAACACAATTCAAAGGAAAGCAGCGCGATGCAAAACAGTGCAAATCAATGCACGGCGATGCAAAGCACTGCAATGCGATGCGAAGCAATGCAATGCAATGCGATGCAAAGCAACACAAAGCAATGCAGTATGATGCACAGCAAAACAATGCAAAGAAACGCAAATCAATGCAACGCAAAGCAAAGCGATACAAAGCGATGCAACGCCATGCAACGCGAGGCAAAGCAATGCAAATCAATGCAAAGCAATGCACATCATTGTAATACAATGCCCTGCAATGCAAAGCGCGCCAAAGCAACAACAATGCAAAGCGCGACAAAGCGATGCAAAACGATGCGAAACAATGCAATGCAATGCAAATCAATTCCAAGCAGAATAATGCGATGCAAAGCCATGCACAGCAATGACAAGCAATGCAACACAATGCAATGCAAAGCACTGTAATGCGATGTGAAGCAAAATGAAGCAATGCAAAGCGACGCGAAGCAATGCAACACAATGCAACGCAATGCGGGGTGGCGGCGACGGACGGGAACGGGGCCGCCGAACCCGCAGACGGGCCTTCTACTTGGAAAAACTAAAGCGGTAACGGTGAACGGGCCGCCGGGCCCGCAGACGGGCAGGGTTCCATAGACGACAAATGAGAACCCTAAAGGGCAAGTGCTGTTGTGGGAAATTTGCCCGTGGAGGCGTAACGAGAAAAATCCCAGCGAATTGTTTGGGATCGACAAGAAGTCTGGAGCGGCGGCAGCAGGAAGGAGGGGGCACGGTGCCGCAGTGCTGGCCACGCAGTGACAGCCCAGTGGCCCCCCTGAACCCCAGGGCCGCTTTCGAGGCAGGAGCTGTCAGAAGGCGAAGGCCAGCGCCGGCGTCCTCCCTGCGCTGGACCACGGCCAACTCGTGGCTGTAATTCGGAAGGCCGCCTGGATGGGCGTCCCAAGGCTGGAGGGGCGTCCTCCCGTTCCCAATATTTCCGCTTGTCTTCTGCTGCTGCTGGTCTTTCTTGTCGTCGTCCTCTTCCAGAGGTCCAAGCAGGATCAGAACAATCCGAAAACAAAGTTGCTTCCCACTCCTCCCCTCACCCGAACACAGCCCACTGACCCCCTGAGGCCGAAAACGTTGGAGCAACTCCGTGTTGAGTTGCACAAGACGTTCGAAGCCTGGGTCTACACTTCCTCCCCGCCCCCAGGAAATGAGGGAGGAAAGCCCCATCTGAAAAGTGCGGGGAAACTCGGGCAGGCAGGAGGGATGGAGGGATGGAGGGAGCGGGGGAGGGAGGGGGGACGGGAGGTCCCCCCTCCCCCTGAGAGACTCGGCCAGCGCAGAGCGCACCAGCCCACCCCTGTCCTCTAGGACGAGGCCAAGATGGCAAGATATGGGTTCTGCTGTACCATAGGGGTTAAGGGGGGTCCCGTTGTAGTCGCAGCGGCCGTGCTCACCCCCCGCGGGTAATATACTACCCCATGTTCTACACATTCAAATCAAATTCTGGTCGTGGGGCCGTTTGCAGGGGGGCGAATGGTGCAGAGCGCCGTGCACGGGGTGACGAGTAGTGGAAGGCGCTGCCTGCGAGGGTAATGCATACGAGGAAATCCCGTACGCCAAAAAATCCCGAGCCAAGAAAAAACCCGGATTAATTCAAAACCTTTCAATCATCAAGGCAAATCGTTGCAATCACATCAACAGTTCGCATGCCGACCCAAGAACATTCACCATCAACCATTACCATCACCTACTTGTCATCACCACCGTCACCGTCACTGCCACCGCCACCATAAATCGCTACCACGCTAATCGCAACAATCATCCTAGTATTACAGAGACGACCAGCGGCGACACAGCATTGTGTAGTGCCGCTGTGGTGGTAACGGCGGCGACGGTTATGGTGATGGTGGTGGTTCCTTTTCTGACGATAGCTGTAGTGCTAATGGTGGTGGTGGTGCTGTTTGGCCTGAAATAGGTGATGATGATGGTGGTAATGATGGAAAGGAGCGGTGGCGGTGATGCTGGTGATGGTGGCGGATGTGATGGTGATGGTGGTGATGATGGTATGGCGGTGTTGAAGATGATGGTGACGATGATTATGGTTGAAATTATAATGTGGTTGATGATGACGATGGCGGTAGTGCTGAAGACGGGGATGTTAATGGTGACGACGTTGGTGGCCACTTCCATTGTTTGTATGGAGCTCGGGCAACTGCATCCGCAGCTCGCTGGTGTTGGCGCTGCTGCTGGCGCTGGTGCGGGGGTGGCGTTGGCGCTGGCGGTTGCGCGGGTCACGACATTGTCCAGACCGCGTGCCAAACTCGCATCGCAACTCGACCGTTTTCAAAATGTCCGAGACGGCGTGGGCCTCGCCGACCACGAGGAAGGACTCTCGCGAGTATGGACCTCGGCGCGGTGCTTGCACGCGGCCTGGGCCACGGCGCCGGGGATGTCTAGGAGATCTTCGGTGCTCGGGGCGGACGGGAACAGCGAGCAGAGGAACTCCGGGGCGCTCCGCTTCTGCGTCCAGCTCTCTTCCTCGCTGTCGGCGGGCGAGGTCATGAGCAGGTCGCGCACGAGAGGGCGCGCGCCCAGTGGCACCTGCGCGGCAGCGCTTTCGGGATGATCAACGTCGCGCAGCAGTGTGTGAACCACGACTGGACAGTGGGCGACTGTAAGGGCGTCTTGCAATCATTTAACACGAGCCCACTTGCGAGCAACTTCTCGATCGGCTCGCAGGCGAGGCCCGCATCGGCGTTCTCTGGCTGGAACCGCAGCGCCACACCAGCAAATGGCACTCCGAACGCGCCGTGGCCCCAGGGGCAGCGCGCGACCGAGACGGCGCGGTCGCCGGGAACCGGCGCGGCATCGCTCTTCCACCCGCCGATCTTGCCCGGCCAGTCCAGGTCGGGTTCTCGGCGAGCTTCTTCTCTGCAGATTCGATCTTCGAGGCCAGCGCGCCGACGCAGGCAGACTCCGCCTCGCGCCCCTGGGCCGCGGCAGGGGGGCGGGCCGAATGGGCGGGGGGGGTCGTCTCGCCGCCGCCAGGGGAACGCAAAACCGCGTTCCCGAGGTGGCGCCAATGCGAGCCAGAGTGCGCAAGATGGACCGAGTGGAATGCCCAAGATGGCCCGCGCCCACCCCCCCTTCCCCGCCCACCAGGTGCTGGATTCGATGCTAGGAAACCAAGCATCCCCTCACGCAATGGAGGGATAATGAAACGAACTGTGGCGCCTGCGCTGCCAGTGCCTAGTCCTCCATCTCTTCCTCCTCCTCCGCATCCTCCTCCTCCTCCTCTCCTCTTCCTGTTCATCCCTTCTCCCTCGCTCCTCGCGCCAGTATCCCATTCCTCGCCTGTCCTCCTCCTTCTTCCTCTTCTTCTCTCCCTTCCCTCCTCGCTCGCTCCTCGCCCTTCCGTCGTCGCCCTCATCTTTGCCCCCCTTCACATTGGCGGGGCCGTCGCAGACCTTCGCGTCGAAGGCGAGCGCCTTGTCGTGCTTCGCCCCGGGGCGCGGCGCACCCTTGCAGGACTCGACGCGGACGCGCTCGCGGCCTTTCTTGGAAATTGAGACCTGCGCGGGCTCGACCGCATCGGCGGGCGAGCCAATCGGCTCGCCGGGGGGCGGCTCGTTGCCCTCAGCGGCGGCCGCTTCCAGGGCGGCTGCCTGCGCCCTGGCGGCGCCCTCGCGGAGCTGCGCGGCCGTCTCGCTGGCAGCCGTCTGGGTCAGCGCCTTCTCGACGACCAGCTTGGCGAAGTTCTGACCGAAACTGTCGGCTGCGCATTGATTGGCAAGTCGGGCCTTGACGTGTCGTGCCTTGAGCTTGTCGCTGCGGCGAGCGAAGCACTGCTCTTGAACCTTGGATGCCAACGTGGCCCCGTCGTAACCTGGTCCACCTTCGTCTTACCCGCCGTTTTTTTTGCAAGGCCAACATGCCTTTGGCAGTGCCGCCTAGCTGCTGCGGCGTCGCCCCCTAAAGGGTCTGCATCTCTTCCTCGGCTGACTCCACAACACCCTTGCAGGCCAACTTGAAAGCATCCCCGTCGACGCCCTAGTCGCCCGCCAGCGTCTCCCGCGCGGCGTCGTCGCATGCGGCGCGCGCCTTCAACATCTTCGAGCAGTGGCCCGCACTGCCGCGGAAACCCGCTCGATCGCCGCCGCCCGCCATGGG